ATTTGAGTTTAGAAAAAACCATACTATAAATGGGGATATAATGCACAAGCTTTTATGTGCAACCAAGTGCTCATTTACCCACCAAATATCCTTAAAGCCTCAGCCAACACAACAAGCTTTGTAATCCTATCTTTTATGCTGCCTTGCAGGTGAGGCACTGCCACACTGAGGCACTATCGCAGTTTAGGCGAGGCACTACCGCAGTTGAGCCGTGGCACTGCCATGACTGAACTGACCGTTGGGAGCGGGGGTATTTATACCCCTTCTCTTCCTCCCAACGACTCACTTGAACCTCCTACTCATTCCAGCTCGTCCAAAATAGAAAAAGCTGCTCTCTCTCTCTCTCTCTCAGTCACCATTGGAACCCGTTAAGCTTCTCCCTTTGATTCCCTTCTAAATCTAAGAGAGTTTGAGCCTCCAAACTACTTTAGAGAGCAGCCCCAATTGTCCTTCATCACCTAGAGCATTTGGTTCGCATTCAAGCCGGTGGATTGTGTTTGTTACTCTTGGAGCTTGCTCCTAGCCGGCAAGAGCGTCGTCCGTGGAGCTTGCCAACTTGTGTGGCAACCATAGGAGGTTTGTAATCACCCCAATCATCTAGTAAAATCACCTCTCATCTCAAGAGTTTATTCTCTTGACTTGAGAACGAGGATAATGTTGAAAGAGATCAAAGCCTTTGTGGCTACCTAAAAAACATGGACATAGGTAAGCCTTTATGGCGAGCTGAACCACGGGATAAATCGGTATATCACTTGTGTTCTTATGATTTGCATTGCTATACTTGTATTTGTGGTGATTGTAGGGTTTAGTCCTGATCTACTTGCTCGTGCACTTTTGCCAACTTTTTGGTGGTGGAATAGGCTCTACACTATCCCAGGAACATCAGTAATTTGTTCGATCTATTTTTTCTTGGGCATCTTTTGAATTGTAGTTCGAGCTTGTCTGCAGGAGCAGCAGTGCCACACTTTTAGTGAGGTAGTGCCGCACCTACAATTTAATTTCCACTGCGAGTTTGTTTTAAACAAGCCTATTCACCCCCTCTAGGCGACATCAAGGTCCTTTCAATAACTGCTAATAAAATTTAATATAAGGACGCACGTTTAGTAATGCTTCCGCCGATGCAATATCCCACAAGCCAAATAAGTCTTGCATATTCTTGGAGTCTTTTATTTTTCTCCTGTCGGATAAGTCTTGCTGAATACAATCGTACCTAGGGTTTTATTCCCCCTGTTGCAGGTGATCGAAGGATACTTAGAGCTGACTCTTGTGTGTTGAAACCTCCTGGTGGGCTCAGAGAGGATTCCTTCACGCTACGACCGTAGTGTTTATTTATAAACCTCACTAAAGGTTTTTATAACAAAAGATGTAAAATCTGCTAGCATCTCTTGTATATAAATGTCCACTACGTTAATGCTCCACCATGTCATTAAATTAATCTTTACTTCCTCTGTAACTCTGATAACATTGTTATATTCCGCTGTTATAATCAATTGAGGTAATATTATGTTACTGTAATAAAGTGATGTAAGAAATAACTTAAGAATGTTGTAAGCTGTATTCTCTCATTTATGATCCTGATGGAAAAATATGAATTTTCGAGTTCTTTCTTAGGGTGTGCTCGATGGAATTGTGTAGTTTAGTGTCCTCTCTTGAGTACTTAGTGTCTAATAGAAGACAAGTACTCCTCAGAGGCATTAGATGAAGCGGTTACAGTAGTGTGTTAGACCACATGAGAAATTAGATAACTCTTCGGCATGAAATTGAAGTCCTGTTTCAAACCGGTTGTTACCTTTAATTTGAGAATAGCCTCAGTGTGAAAATTGTGCATAATATAATACATTCAAAGTAGTAAAGTCAATAGGAGATCGAAAGAAATCACAATAATTTGCGCATTTTCAAAAAAACACGTTCCTCCAAATTTTTTGGATAACCTGGATACGCAAGAGTCAAGAAATTTTCTAAAGGCAGAAAATAGCAAAATCTTAGTGTTTTTTCCTGAAAAATGCTGCAAATCGCCTTGAATGGCCAGCTTCAAATGGGACGTAGGTCCAAAACCTGGTCCGATTGCACGAAGGCCGCAATCGGCGTATTTGTGGCCGGGCGGACATCCCGCGGCAGGCTCACCCGCGAGACCACATGGGCCAAAGCCTGCCCTGAAAGCAATCTTAGAGCCCAAATATCCAAATCACCTGATTACGTTTCAGATTACACGGCGGGGACTAACAGAATTCCTTAGTAGTCCCTTCGTTTCAAACTATCAGCCATTTCAGCTGCATAGCTTATGCGATGTATCAAAATGTATATCTAAGTACATAGTTATATATTAAAAAAATCAAAATAACTTATAATTTAGATTATGGATTCTTTTGGTTGACATTCAGGCATATATAGCATAAAAATAATTATTAAAAAATAATGGGCAAAACTACAAGCAATAAAACACTAGAAACAAGTATATATTAATAAGTGAAGATAATGGTCGGCAAAATATCACTTAGAAAATGTTTGGCTAAAGTTGCCACAACTCAGGCAACCACAATTTTCTTAGATGATAATACCACCCTCGGTCCTAAATTATAAATTATTTTGGTTTTTTTTAGGTACATAGCTTTTGCTATGAATCTAGATATATATGATATGTCTAGATACACAATAAAAGTTGTGTATTTAAAAATAACAAAACAACCTATAAATTAGAACAGATGGAGTATTTGGTTGCTACCACAATTTAATCAATATAACCTAGTCATTTGGCCACGGGGCATAGACTCACCATCTTTGCCTAACTCTTCCTAAGGTTAAGTGATGGATTTTCTTGCTACAAAAGTGTGGCAAGACTAACCTTAGTAGACTTAGGTAAAAAATCCAAGGCAAGTATAGTTGCAACCAAAACATGCCCTTCGGCTTTAGTCATCTCTTTTGTAGTTCTAAATAGGGAGAAGTTCATTTTTGGCATGCAACTATTGTCCGAGTTTGTTTCCAGTGACACAACTTTTAACTAGGGATCTTTGACCATCGAACTATCAATATTGAACAAATTTGGCTATCTAGATGGTTTTAACATGTTTTTGTATTTTTGAAAATAATAAAAACTACTTTATTTCCTAAAAATATGCAAGTAATTCATTTCAAACTAGAAAAAATATGAACCTAGCACCTTTTTTTCCAAAAATATCTCTATCTATTGGTGTTCTCTTTGAAGTTGTTTTTATTGAATCATATTGCTACTGTTTTGTTGCTTGTAGTCATGTTCATTGTTACTTAAATCATCACTTTGTACTATATTATACCAAGGATTGCCAAGAGATCAATAGCAAACTACAAGTAAACAATACATTTGGAAGATGACACAAACGCTCGCAGGTGTCATGGTACACCATACATAGATCATATTTAGTCATTGCACTAGTATGGACTAGCCCTCCATTTTTTTTGTTAATTTGACTCCAACATGTTTGGTACTCTATTTGGATTATATATTCTTTTGATTGAGATATAGGCTTAATATAGAATAAAATAATGATTTAAAAAAATAAGGAAAAATAATAGGCATGACTACAAGCAATAAAACACTAGGGACAAAAACATGTAAGATTCAAATAGCTCAAAAATAAACTAGCATCAATAGACGCATTATATTTTTGTTGAAGAAATGGTACTTGTTTCTTATTTAAATGAATTAGATATGGATTTTTAGGAAATAATCCACTTTTTATTTATTTTAAGAAAATATAAAGTCGCCTTTGATATCAACTATATGGCAAAACTTATTCGGCATTGGTATTTCGGTGATCAAAAGTTCCTAGTTTTATAAGAGTTACATGGACAAACTCAAGCAATAGTTGGATACACAAAAATGATCTTCTCCTTTCTGAAATTTCAAGAAGAAACTGTTTTGATTGGAATTGATTTTTTTGGTGCACAGAAAATACCTTTTCTTAGGCCAGTTCAATTATGAATAAATCAATATTTCTCAACCATCTAAGAAAGGCTAAATATATATACAGAAAGAACTTACTCCCTCCAGTCTTTTTTCAGAAATTTTTTTCCTGTGTTTTGCTTGGCATGCAATTATTGCACATAAGCCATACCATTGTTCAATCATACTATCTACCCTACTATGCCTCTCCCGCCACCGAAAAGCCAAACGGCTCTTGATCTTCCATGCCCGTGTTCCCATATTCCGTAGTCTGGGTCCATACACCAGCGTGACACTACTCTTATGTTAGACGCTTTATGCTTGTGTGTTTTGAGCCGCTTGACTGATCAATCGCTGAAAGACATTTTTTACTCTAAATTTCAGCATTATAAACAAAGAGGGCGTGGGTAGCACACCGGAGGCACCTATTCTTTATGAATACTTTTGTGCCAAATTTTAACGTGCGGTTAATGTTTATATGTTGGCATTATCATTAAGTAACCTATAAATTGTTGGCGACCACTCCGTCTGTCCCAAAAGAAAGTACATATCTTGTTTTTCGAAAAGTCAAATAATCTTAAGTTTAACCAAATATATAAAAACGACAACAATATTTATGATGCTAAATAGATATAATTAGATTAATTATGCAATATATTTATATAGTAAATCTATTTTAAAGATATAAATGTTGATGCTATTTTTTTACAAATCTAGTTAATTCCTCGAAAAAATGAGATGTGTATTATTGTTTCCCGGAAGTACTCCCTCTGTCTCAAAATAAGAGTCGTTCTCGCTTATGAAGGAATCAAATAATTTTAACTTTGATCAAATATATAAAATAAAATATTAATATTTATAGTATAGAATTGATATCATTAATAGATAGTTGAATCTATTTTCATAATAAAATTGTCGGGGCATTCGGTAACTACACAGTCTCTAGTAGCGTGCGGTACGTGGTGCTCAAGTGGGCCTTCTGCTTCGCCATCGGCATCCTCACCGGGATCGTCGGCTTCGTCATCAACCTCGCCGTCGAGAACGTCGCTGGCTTCAAGCACCAGGCCACGCTGAGCCGTACATGCGGCAGCTGACCGTCGGCGACGTGGTGGCCGGTCCGCTGCGGAGCTTCGGCGGCGTGGAGAAGGTCGGCAACGTCGTGCACACGCTCCGCGCCACGGGGCACCACGCGTTCCCCGTCGTGGACGAGCCGCCCTTCTCGCCGGGGCCGCCGGTGCTCTACGGCCTGGTGCTGCGCGCGCACCTGCTGGTCCTGCTCAAGAAGAGGGAGTTCCTGGCGGCGCCGGAGCGGTGCCACAAGGAGTACGTGGCCGGGAGGTTCCAGGCGGAGGACTTCGACAAGCGCGGGTCCGGGAAGCAGGACACCATCGCCGACGTGGTGCTGTCGCCGGAGGAGATGGAGATGTACGTCGACCTGCACCCCTTCACCAACACGTCGCCGTACACGGTGGTTGAGACCATGTCACTGGCCAAGGCACTAGTGCTCTTCCGGGAGGTCGGCCTGCGCCATCTCCTCGTCGTGCCCAAGGCCTGCGACGTAACTGCAATTCAATTAGTATCAAGCAAGATTTCACTTCATTTTAGTATATACTAGTTCTTCGGCCGCGCCCATGCGCGCGGGCCACTGGTCACACGTATTTTTTGGGAAAAAAAGATATAATCAAGGGGGGCCTGTATTTCGATTTGAGAAAAATCTGAGGAGGTTTTCGAAAAAATCGCTGAGAGTGTCTTTATAGTGCGGGTTGATTTTTGATAAAAGGAAGGGTTTTTTTGCAAAAAAGCCGGAGCTTATCCGTTCTGGACTGCGGGTTGATTTGAAAATTATCTAAGTTGTTATTTGCAAAATATTCTGAGAGGGCCTCTGGAGCGCGGGTTGATTTCCCAAAAACATAAGGGATTTTTCGTAAAATGACCGCGCCTCGCCCGATCTGGACCGTCGATGCGGCACATCGAACGGCCGGGAACGGCCGGCGACGTGGCGCGCCGTGTGGGCAGCCTGGCCACACGCTTTCTTGTCTTTAGATATTATGTGTGTATATATATTTGCAGAGGTCGCCGGTGGTCGGCATCTTGACGAGGCATGACTTCATTCCGGAGCACATCCTGGGGCTGCACCCTGTGCTTCTGAAGAGCAGGTGGAAGAGGCTCCGGTGGCAGAGGGGCGCCGTAGCCAAGTACTTCCGCTCGCTCGTCGAGTGGGTCGCCAACAGCGGCTGAAGGAGATACATTGCTGGCAGGATGCTGCTGGCTTGTGCGTATGGATGAAAACGGTACGGATATTTATTCGACCGTTCGTTCGACCGAACAAATATGAACACTTATCTGGATAGTTACTCGGATATCCGGTTTTTTTTTTGGATACGGATACTAAAACGGATATCTTAGGCGGATATCAAATACGGATGTAATATCATCGATATCCGGCGGATATCGGATAATCCGGATAAGTATCGGATATATCCGGATATTTAAAAACGGATATTATCCGGATATTTATTCAAAATTTAAAAATCACAAATTTGAACCATCCAAACTATCTCAAATGGAAAGTTGACCAAAACAACAATTGTAGATCTTGATGAGTTGAACAAACTTGGTATTCAAAACTTTTCAATTTGAAGTCATTTAGAGTTCATAATACTAGAGTCAAAGTGTTGTTTTTTCATTTGACCAAATTTGACTTGGTCAAACTTGCTCAAATGAGACACTAAATGACCTCAGATGAAAAAACTCTGAATACCAAGTTTGATCATCTCAGCAAGATCTACAATTGTTACATAGCTTATTTTCCCATTTGAGAAAGTTTTATCAAACACTAGTCATAAATTCTTGAATCTCATAGACTTTCTGAAACTATGTCACACACTTGTGAAATTTGAACTATATTTTGTTCAAACTTTCTCAAATGAAAAAATGGCCTATATAAGGATTGTATATCTTGATGACATGAACAAATTTGGTATTCAAAACTTTTCAATTTGAGACAATCTAGGGTTCCAAAAACTAGTTTGTAAACGTCGAAATTTAAAAATCACAAATTTGAACCATCCAAACTATCTCAAATGGAAAGTTGACCAAAACAAAAATTGTAGATCTTGATGAGTTGAACAAACTTGGTATTCAAAACTTTTCAATTTGAAGTCATTTAGAGTTCATAATACTAGAGTCAAAGTGTTGTTTTTTCATTTGACCAAATTTGACTTGGTCAAACTTGCTCAAATGAGACACTAAATGACCTCAGATGAAAAAACTCTGAATACCAAGTTTGAACATATCAGCAAGATATACAATTGTTACATAGCTCATTTTCTCATTTGAGAAAGTTTTATCAAACAATAGTCACAAATTCTTGAATCTCATATAGACTTTCTGAAACTATGTCACACACTTGTGAAATTTGAACTACATTTTGTTCAAACTTTCTCAAATGAAAAAATAGCCTATATAAGGATTGTAGATCTTGATGAGCTGAACAAACTTGGTATTCAAAACTTTTCAATTTGAGACAATCTAGGGTTCCGAAAACTAGTTTGTAAGCATCGAAATTTAAAAATCACAAATTTGAACCGTCCAAACTATCTCAAATGGAAAGTTGACCAAAACAAGAATTATAGATCTTGATGAGTTGAACAAACTTGGTATTCAAAACTTTTCAATTTGAAGTCATTTAGAGTTCATAATATTAGAGTCAAAGTGTTGTTTTTTCATTTGACCAAATTTGACTTGGTCAAACTTGCTCAAATGAGACACTAAATGACCTCAGATGAAAAAACTCTGAATACCAAGTTTGATCATCTCAGCAAGATATACAATTGTTACATAGCTCATTTTCCCATTTGAGAAAGTTTTATCAAACACTAGTCACAAATTCTTAAATCTCATACAGACTTTCTAAAACTATGTCACACACTTGTAAAATTTGAACTACATTTTGTTCAAACTTTCTCAAAATGAAAAATGGCCTATATAAGGATTGTAGATCTTGAATCCATGACCATGACTCCATGAGACCCATGAAGCAATGTGCTTGGCTATTTCTACTCATGCCGCGAAGATTGGTGCTTATATGATGTTTGATGTATGATGTATCTGTATCTTTATCTTATTTGTTGCTTTACTCTTTAGTCTTTCGGCTTAATCTAGATGGATTATGGACTCATAGAGTGGTGTAATGGTTTGCGCACGTATGATATATATATATATATGCTGCTTTTACTCAATATCCGAATAGATATTTGTATCCGACCTTCTCCGAATCCGATTCATACCGTATTCGATACTCATTATTCGTATCCGTAACCGAGTCAATCCGTATTCGTATATGTATCCGAACGCTATCCGTGTCCGAATCCGAATCCGAACAGAAATATGAAAACAAATATAATATGAGTGATATCCGTTCGTATCCGATCCGTTTTCATCCCTACTTGTGCAGATTAAAGGGGTCATTGTGTATTTGTGAAATAACAGCACCTGCTGATAGCTTCATATACACATGCAAAATATGTTCATTCAAAATTTTGTCTTCGCTTCTTCATTTATGTTTATATATATTTTTTTCTTGTGTGGAAGAAGATGAGTTTGCCATATTGTTTTATGTCTTCTACATTTATTGAGTTTGATGTATAGTTTTCTTGGTGCACACTTCCAAAGAGAGGTCGAGGGTCCATTACTGAAGTAAGATTTTTTTTTTCCGAATTTTATAGGGCGTGGTGTTGCCCAAGCTCTGTTTACTTTTTTTTTAAAACGAATCAACAAGGAAAGCTGCCGATTATATTGATAAAGAAGAAATCCTAGACTGGGTATTAACAGAATAACAACAATAGTTGTAACAACACAAACGACTATGACAACTCTACCAACAACAACAACAGTAGTGACAAAAACAAGCAACTAAGATAACTCTACCAACGACAATCCACTTGCAACATGAGCAAACAAACAAACCGCAGTGAAGACAAACACCTAAAGAAAGGACAAAGAAACCTCTGCCACCATGCCCCTCTCTGTTTAGCTTATAATGTGTATTTTCATAACTTTTCTACCTTAATACAAAGAAGCAAGCGCAGATCTCCTACGTTTTTTGAGAATTTTTTTTACAGGGTCAGTTTCAGGATTAGTAGAATGGCCTAGCAGAGATGCTCTGTCACCAGGAGATCAAGATCGAAAAATATAATTATCCTTTCCTTTTTGGAGGCTTTGCTGAAGAGTTTTGTTCTCACCACCCGCCACCCCTAGTGGTTGTTGCTCAGTGGGCAGGGTGGCTTAGGTTGCTGGTATAGAGCAATGACGGACCTAAACATGGCAGCAGCGGAGGTCGAGCACGGGTGGGGTCTGGTCAGGCGTGGGCGAGGAAACGATGAAAAATACTATCTTCATTTCGAATTATAAGTCATTGTGTATTTGTTTTATAACAACACCTTATGATAGCTTCATATACACATGCAGATATGTTCATTCAAAATTTTGTCTTCGCTTCTTCATTTTATGTTTATATTTTTCTTCTGTGAAAGAAGAAGAGTTCGCCATATTTGTTTTATGTGTTATATATTTGTTGAGTTTGATGTATATTTTTTGGTGCACATTTCCATAGAGAGATCGAGGGGCATTACAATTCTTCAAATTCAAATGTTGTATTTGCAATTAATCATTAAAAGATATTATTTAAAAAAAATTCCTAGTCAACAGTGTTGCTGTGAAAATTTGATTCACACGACACCACGATAACTATTGTTCTTTCGTAACGACGATCGACTAGTTTTCAGGACAAACTAGCAAAGTGGTTCCTCGCTTTCGTGGAGAAGAGCCGACTGTTTTTCAGCGTAAAATGGCAAAGGTTACCGACCCTTAATGAAGATTAGGGTTTGGTATGTACTACTGTCCTAAAATAGAAGAAAACATAATATTATATTGGAAAAATAATAGATTAATAATGTTGATTGGTTAGAGGATAACAATTGGCCATATACCCGGGTATTTATACATAGATATGCCTCGGTCTTTGACAAACAGAGAGAATTCTTTTACGCACAAAGTGAATACAATATCTTTCTAATTCCTAATTTGTTTGGCCACACGTCCACACCTACACCTATTATTAAGTCCAGCACCACTACGTCTCCTATTCTTGCCTGTCCTGAGCCAAACCATTTACTGATCTACAAATATCTTCTCCTTCGACTCGACAACGGTACAAACAGATTAATCATGTGCCTCAGATCCCGCTAATATCTCCGTGTGCGCATGCTTGATACTGGCTCCTCAATAATCACTAGTGGAGCCTCCATCCATGAAATTATTTACTGAAGGTCTTCTCAGGCCACAAGAGGCTGTTACATATATGAATATCTGCTGTGCTGCAAACGATCTTCAATCCTGACCCTGTTGCAACATCATCGGCCAAACTTGCTTCTGGCCCCGTAAATTTCAGTTGATTCTTCCATTCAAATATGTTACAATTCATCAAAAGAATTCGACTAATAAACATAAGTACTGGCAACTAAACTAATTTGGCCAACTAGAAATCAAAGAGACAAATTATGATATTAATAACAAGTAGCAGCTGGGCCCACTAGCGGCGACTCGGTACATCCAAGCGAGCGCGCACCTGCGTCAGCCGGCAGGCAGTGGCCATCGAGCGCACACCTGCGTCACCATCGGCACACACACAACCTGCGTCGACACACACGCAACGGCGACTTGGATCGAACGGACACATTAATTAGCCTTTTCCGTCGGATGTTTATCTTTCACCGGCCTTATCAGACTCAGCATACTAGATACATCACTTATCATGACATCAGTGACAAAGGTATGTCACTAGTACTTCCTACTCCATATAATACTCAGGGAAATTTCGCTGTAGGACACCGCTAAAAAATGTAATACGCTGATGGATATCGCATTACAAATTTGAGGTTCTTTGACCGGTTACACACCGCAGCTAATATTTTATTTATTTCTCAGATTCGCGAAGAGAGAAGGCGGGAGAAATGATTTTTTTTGTCCTCGTCTTCAACCTTCAGCCGTTCGCTTATTTTTGCCATACACATCGCCGCTGTCTTTTCTTCTCCGGCGACACCCGCGACCACAACGCCGGGCATCTCCACCACGGCTGCTCATCTCCAGTAACACGGTGGCGGCGTTGCTGTACGGCGGCTGACGGTGCTGCAACGCGCCGCGACTTGCTCTCCCCGCGCACCGAGTCCGCCATTGAC